GGTGCCGGCTCTGCCTGTTGCAGAGCTAAGCCGTGCACAACTCGGCCGAAGTGTCTGAAATTCGCGGCTTCCGAGGTTTGTGTTGCGAAATCAGAACTAGGGAAAATCATAAATAAGCTGGTCCGTGTGCTTGTTCCTCAATACCGTGCTCGTGTTGAATGTGCATTCAAACTTGGTGTTTCTTTGACCTCGTGAAGCAGGTCAAGAATGGAGGTGTATTAATATTTTAAAAATAAAATTCGTATCAGAATTCCTGCCTTAAGGCTTAAACTGCAGTGGCAGAACTGGATGTCTAGGGTTAGAGTAAGGTGGAATTTTAATCTGATTCCAGGAAACAAACCTGATTAACCCATCAATTTACTTCCTTGCTGCTGTTTGGCATTCTCACAGTGAACATCTTTCCACCATAGAAAAAGACACCAACGGAGATGCTTTGTGGGTTTGGTGTTATCCGTCCGTAACAGCTGAACTGAGGACTCTGTTGCTTCGAAAGTGTTGCCTTACAGATGAAAACAAATTGCTCCATACGTTTGTGTTTGGCCAGTATAAAAGGTCTTGGTTCTACATCACAACGGTAGAAGTTCAAGATTCTCCAGCTTTGAAAAAGGTATGACCTGGCAGGGTCTCTCAGTAGAATGCAGGGAGGGCTTCTGCAGAGCTTCCTCTGTGGGTTACAGCAGTCTTTTCCCATGGAGAGAAATGTGAGGAAGAGAAGGGATTCAAGGTGTTGTGTGCTCACAGATACAGCTTTGTCCAGGTGTCCAGCTGGTCTATGTTTCGTTTGTCACCAAGACATGGAATTGCAGAATGATTGAGATATTCATTACCCAGTTCTTTGTGTTTACATACAAATGCTATTTCATGCTGCTGTTTGTAGTTAATTTGCATTTCAAGTTCAGCATTTTTTCTCTCTACAAAGTTTGTTTCATAGTGTTCAGAATCTTGTTCCTATAGAACCTGCTGCCTTTTTTCCCCAAATGATAGAGTTATGTAGGAACTTCCTTTTCTACTTCGTTGATTACTGGAAGACAGCAAATACAGTTGTATCTTCTATCTTTTTCCTGTTGTGAAATCATTAAACTGTCGGTTAAGTCTGTTCAGTTTTCATGTTTCATCTATGTTGTTAAGTAGGAAGATAATGTGGTAATTTTGTATGCCCACAGCAGAATGTTGCTTGCCTTTCCTCAGTCCAAGTTTATATTTCCTATGAAGTAAAATAAAATTAAATATCACAGTGCTGTCTTCAACAGTTGCAGTGGGAGATGCTCTTTCATGAGGACACATGAGCCAGGTTGTTGTCTGCAGACTTTCAGTCTTGTACTGTCCCAGCACACAATCATTTGATTGAGGAAGTTAGAGCTGTTCTGCTTGTGGGCCAGTTATCTGTGTATTTTTTCCAGTCTCTTTCTAAATATGTCAATGCTGTCTGCTTCCGCAGCCTCCTCTGGCAACAAATTCTGGAAGTTTCCTCCCTGCTGTGGGGAAGAAAAATGTCTGTTTTTTAATAACTTCATGAGATTAGAGGAAAGCAACTCTTGTTTGTAGGTTAAGCAAAAGATAGTCTGTAGTAGAGCTGAGTCACATCACAAATCCTCTGTCCAGGCCACTCCTGCAGTTAGGAACTTGGATCCTTGAAATAAAGTGACACTGTTTGTGTGGGGTCATTAGCTGAGCTCTGTGTGTTTCTGTGCCTGTGTTATGTGCAGGTGACCCACTTCTCCATTGTGCTGACTGCCCAAGACTTCAACCCAGAGAAGTATGCAGCCTTCACCAGGATCCTCTGTAGGTCTGTATAAAAGCTGGCCTTAGGTACTGCTGTGTGCATGCTTAGATCTTGCCAAAGCAAAAGGTTGAATTCATTGTGTTGTGTTTGTTCAAACAAATTGCTGGAAACTCAGTCCTACAAATGAAATCAGATGATAAAAATCCTTGATTTGAGCTTGTTGTATACAGAAAGTGTTGGGTGAGTGTCAGATGTTCATTGAGTTTTAATGTGTGTCCTCACCAGACACATACCACCACCACCTCACACTCATTTTCTCTGAGAATGTATTTTTAAAAATTGTAAATGTTTGGGAAGATGTCAGTGCTGGACTCAAAGACTGACTCAAAGATGTGTATGGTGAATGACTTGCACAACATCTTGATAGATGCTGCGTGCAGCTGCTCTGAGCTAAGCACAGCACCCAGGGATGGTTTTGCTTTTCCTGTAGGGAAGTGAGAGCCCTCTTCCAACCAGAAAACCTCATTTTCTTGCCCTTTTTACTCACTTCTGTTCATGTCCCCATTCTCATGCTCCCTCTTTGCTTCTTATTTTGCTTTTCCTTCAAATTCTGAGTTAGTTCAGTCCCAGTTCCTGATACCAAGAGTATTCCCTGAGATTTTGTAGCTAATTAGATACAATTCTGAGGTTATTGTGCTCTTGGGACTTACTATATGTAATGCAGACTTGGGAATGTCTTCAGGCTTACCAATTCTGCAGGGCACTGAAAGACTGAGATATGATGGATGAAATACTTAGATTCACTGTGGATCACATTTCTGCTGATTTACCAGCTAATACTTCCTTTCAAATCTAGAATGGATTCTTCTAAGCATGATAATAATTGAGTTTCAAATGTGATGTAGCTTTGTGCTATAGCTGACATGGAAAATGTGTAGTTGACAGCTTCAGTGCTATTCCTGAAATATCTTAACCTGTAAAATAGGTTACAATGTCTCTCTGGAAGCTCTCTGGAAGACAGCTGACAGTGCATGGGTTCTCTGCATGCTTCTTCTGTGTAGTTTTGGGTTTTTAATGAGTATCAAGGACATGTTTATATTTTTTCTTTCATCATTTAGCAAAGAGTACAGAAGAATGGCAAAAGATACCTGGATAAAAGATTAAAAGCTATGTAGTCATAGTGTGCTTGTAATAACAGGAGTTACTGTGGTAGTTGCTTTTTCATTAAGCAGACACCTTCCAAGTCTGCAAAGAATCCTTTGTCTGGACACCTGCCTACACCTTTGGGGTGTGTTTCTATCTTAGTCTGTGTTGCTTCATTCATAAAACAGAAAGCTGAAATAAATAAAAATAGGGTTATTTTAAATTCTAAGACAGACATGTTCGTGTGCATGTTGGAAGATTTCTAGCTTAGTATTTAAAACCTCAGCCAAGTGTCCAGAATAAGAATTATTGCCAACAATATTGCTATTTGGGATACTGATTTTTAATTTTTCATATATATATTGGTGCACTGATGCAGTTAAAATACCAGATTCTCTCCTTTTCACACAGAATCTACTTGAAGCATGGAAGTCCAGTTAAAATGATGGAGAGTTACATTGCAGTCCTTACAAAAGGCATCTGCCAAAGTGAGGAGAATGGATCCTTCCTCAGCAAGGACTTTGATGCTCGGAAGGCTTACCTTGCTGGCTCCATCAAAGGTTAATCTCTGCCAGAGTCTCTGTTCTGATTTCTTGCTTACAGCCTAAAATACAATCTTGTTTTCATGTATGCTTCAAGTAAGCTGTGCTGACACTGTTACCTGTGCTGTTATTATGAAGATTCTTCAAAAATATGATATCAGCATATGTATCTTCTAGAAAATAATTTCCCTTCTTTTCTAGATATAGTGTCTCAGTTTGGAATGGAAACAGTTATTTTATATACTGCATTGATGTTAAAGAAGAGAATTGTAGTGTACCACCCTAGAATAGAAGCTATCCAGGAATTTACCAGGTACTTTATCAATTCCTTCCTTCCCACCCACCCCTAGAAGTCCACCAAATTTGGAACCTTCATTGAGAAAAAAAAATCCATATTTTAAGGGAAAAAAAATCTATCTTAAACATGTTTATAGAAATTCTGGTGAATCCTTCTTAAGGTTTAGCTGTATGTTGGCTCAACTCAGAAAAATTTAATGGTGGAATGAGTGATAAACTCTGCTTGCACTGATAGCAGAAATCCCTACAGTTCATATACATAAATATATATAACATATATATATATATACATATACCCCCCCAAATGAGACCTAGTGATAATTGTTCTTTTTCATGGCATGCAATTTTTACTGTGTAGCTTTAGTAAGTGTAAGTAAAAATCCACTGTGTCTCAAGTTGCACCATAATCTCCCCAGGACTTTGCCTGCTTTAGTGTGGCATCGACAAGACTGGTCAATTCTTCATTCATATGTGCATCTAAATGAGGAGGAATTGGAAGCCTTAAAAGCTTGTACAGGTAGTGATAATATATTAATCAAAAATACCAGGAAAATTCAATTTCAGCTTCTGTTGCTGCAAAGTTCTGCACCAGGGAACTTTGGAGGGAAAAAAGGGTTATTTTGCTATTAATGCTACTGATCAAAGTTAAACATCATTTCCTCTGGAAAGGGCAAACCAACTAAACAAGTATGTGGGAAGATAATTAGTTAATCTGCTGGCTTTGGGTGGATCCACATCAGTCTGCCTCTAATCACAGATGCAAAGCAGCCTTGAGACTTTTTTGATGCTTTGATTGGAGGGATTGAAAGTCTTCCTGTTTTAGAGAAGCAGCTCATTTAGATAAGCTACTTTTTCCACTAGTAATGGAATGTTTTTTTGTAATTCCTAACTTTGAAGTCCCAGACTTCTATTTTGATGTCAGTGAAATCTTAGGCTCCTAAGCACAGGTAAACTTCACCTGTTGGAGTTTGGTCTGTGTGACACAGTGCTGTGTGTGCATAGTGCTTAATGCATAATCCAGGCATTTGCTTTATGCAGAGGTTACTGTGACACATCATGTGGCCATTAAGAGGCTTCTTTATGTAGAATATGAGCAGGAAGACTACTCACCTTCAACATTTCTACAGCTCACTAAGCATCTTCCACGGAGAAAAACTGTTCCAAGTTTGCTCACCTGACATGCTATAAATAAGAAACTCTGCTGGGTTTATTCCTCTGTTCCAGTCTAATACTGACTTTGTGACAAGAGGCCCCAGAGTGGAGATTTTTGTAATGAGAAAGTTGCAAATGAGTAATTTTGGTAGGAAGGTAGGAAGACAGTTTTAAAATTTCAGATTGGTAACTTGGTGATATTGCTGTAGTGTTAGCAGTTAATCCATGCTCAGGGCAGTTTTAGAAGTCAATTTTTAAGCTCCTTGGAAATGACACATCAGCTGAACACTTGTTGAATGATAGTATCAAGAAAACAACCTCCTGGGTCCAGTGGGTATTGTGTCAAATACTGTTAGAACAGACTTTAGGACTGTGATTTTTGATTTTATTTATGAAGAACCTAATCTTGCTCAATTCCGTGCTCTAGGTTACATCGCTGGATTTACAGACTCTGAAGTGAGCAGTAGATCAGACCTCTATGACGTGTATGTGAATTTGGCAGACAGTGAAATTACAGTTTCACCTGTAGTAAAAGGTTGGTTGCTGTTTATATTTTGGATTTAGAGGCATTTTATTCCAGAGTTGACAGTAATTGCTCAACCTTCCTGTAGGTCAAACAATCTTGATCCTTCTCCCATCCAGATTTTGAAAAGTCAGTATGTAAATCTCTGTCTTCATTTTATTGCCACCCTGGAAGACTGGTTAAAGTTGGAATTTGAAAAGCTGTGCTTTGTTTTCCAACAAATGCACAACTGAGATTTCTTAACATCCATATTAGACATGGAAGAGACTTCCAGCTGAATGGAGAGGTATTACATGAATTTTTAGAAACACTTATCACTAAATACTTGACGACTGGGCATTATTTGAAAGAAATCCTTGTGTGTTGCTTATCATTTTGCTGCTCCTTATCACTGTTTTGGGCCGCTTCAGAGGTACTGGCTGTTGATAGAAGATTATTGCCTTTACCAACAGATTACAAATGGCAGTCATGAAAAGATTCCTCAGTTTGGTGTGTTATTCACATTCATTTCTAGGTGTCACAAAAAAGGTGATTTTATGTGTGGTTTGGGTTTTTTTTCTTACACAGAGGCAATGACAATGGGAAAACTTCACAAAGAAATCGGACAACTAATTGTTCAATCTGCAGAAGATCCAGATAAATCAGACAGCCAAGTCATTAAGGTTAATATTTTATTTTCAAATCTAATTAACTTCTATTGCTAAATCTTGGCAGAAGGAGGGAGTAGGAGGAAGAGTGTCACTGAGAATCAGTCTCTTCTACCTTCTGCCTTTTTAAAAATGAGCGTTTTTATTCATCATGCAGGTTTTTGAGGATAACTTACTTGATTTATATTATCTCTTGAGTAACTACATTGCTGAAGAAAGTTCAGAAATTCTATTGATTGTAAGATTGATTTCCCAGTTTTATTCCACAAAGCATGGATTTTCCTCAATGCTTTGTCATTAATATTACCAATACCTTGAAAAGGTCCTGCTAAATATGGCTTCTTAGCTATAAAAGCTGATTTTTATGATGATGGCATTTTATCACTCCCTCCCCCATCTAATACTAGACATTTCACAACTGAGTGACTTAGTCACAGAGCTCAGTAGGTCAGGAGAGGAGTGGATGTGCATCCTTTATCCAATATGACATGAGAGCAGGCTGAAGAACTATTACAAGGTTACCTTAAAATAAATGGGGTTTTTATTTTAAATGAGCTATTTATCATTATTTCCTTTTTTTGTTCTGTATTGATTGTTTTTTATTTTAAGTGTATATGAAAACCTTTTAATACATAATACTATATTCATGGTTGTTTGTTTTTCTGTTCCTTAAGGACATTTCTCTGAAGACAAAAGAAATCTTGGCTACTTTAGCCTCACTTACTGAAGTTTCTGATGGCAATGAAAAACCAACCCTTAATGCTGAGGCCCTAAAACAAAAGCGATTTCCACCAGCCACAGAAAACTTCCTTTTTCATTTAGCAGCTGCTGAACAAATGCTCAAAATCTGATTTTGATGCACTGCAGTGTTATGGACCAATTCTGAAAAAGTTGTCTCTGCCACCCAGATAGGTATACCTGGTATTTTATGTGAAAAACTAAAGGTGTGAGTCAATGTCCTAGTTACCATGATGTAATGCAGAATATTGGAGCTTGACTGGGAACATATGGAGACATATTTGGGAACATTCCTGGTGTTATTATCTCCCCCCAACTATTAAAAGTGTACCTATGGCTCCTGTATTTCACACCACAAAGTGAATGGATGTGTAAGTAGCACAGGCCAGTGTGTCCAGGCTGTGGCAGATATCAGTGTAGTGTCTGTTTGTCCTGCACATCTCAGAGGCTGGACAGCTCTGACTTGTCTGCCTGGGGTCTGGAACACGGCTGCTGTGAACCCAGCACAGCTGGGTTGTGCTGATCTCTGCATGTTCAGGGACACCCTGAACATGCAGCTGCTCTGAGTGTTCCTGCTGGGCTTCCAGGGATGTCAGCCTGTCAGATGCTGCTCTTGCTCTGGACTGCCTGATAACCTGGAAATCCCAAATAAATGGACAAGTTCTCTCTTTCTACTTGAAAGTGTCTAGGTGTGAATAAAGGATGTCTGAGAAAATCTGATGTGGTAGCCTTAGTATGAAAAGGAAGGGATATTTTGAAGCTCAGGTGTGAGTTGAGCACCTCTTTTGGACTCTTGCCTTAGAGGTTTCCCGCCTTTCACTCCTTCCCATCTCTCTGATGGAGGGATAAGACACAGGATTACTGTGCTTGAAGTGGGGCTTCCTAGGGGGGTCGTGGACAAGTGCTGCCTTACAGCTGGAGTAATTTAAGAAGTTGTTGGGGCTCTCATCTGAGAAGAGACCTGGCCATTCATTCCTGATCCACGTGAGAGAAAGATGAGTCAAAGCCTTATGCAGCAGGAATGCTCAAATGGCCAGCTGCCACAGCTAGAGCAGCAGCTTCGTGAATGGCTGGAGCTGTAACACAGGTACTGTCTGATGGTGCTCTGTGTAAATCAAATCTAGATGGGAACTTCTGAAGTCATAGTGAAAACTGAGAAAGAATTTAGAGAAAATTAAAATTTACCTGCTTGTTTGGTTGCACAGCCATAACTCAAGAGTGGTTTAGATTTTTTTTTTGGGGGGGG